GGGGGGGGGGAGACACAGCCTCCCGGAGGAGAAAGGGCCCAGGGAGAGAGACAAAGAGAAAGCAGAAATAAAAGTGACAGGAGTGCAGGGCAGACCGTGGAGGCCAATAGCCCGCATCCTCCTTTCCCTGGTGGACTCACCGACGTGGCTATGGCCATGGCCTTGGCCTCCTGTGTGGCCTTCTCCAGGCCAGGCTCGGTTTCGCTGAGTTCAGCAGCGGCCGACCCGCACCATGGAGGCGGCCCCCAGCTGCGGCGCCTGAGTCGTGGCCTCCGCGGAGGTTGGAGGAGGAGAAAGAAAGCCCACAAAACTCCCCAAATGGGAGGCAGCTTGGCCGGGCAGGAGGAGGAGCGGGGCGGGCCGGGGCGTCGCTGCGGGACCTCATCCAAGGGCGCGCGCTCCGTGCTGTCCCGGGGGCCACGGGGTTGGCCAGGCCCCCGGAGCTGCCTGCCCTAGGCCGCGGAGGGACCCCGGGTCTGCATGGCCCGAAAGCTCCCACCCAGAGCTGGGGCAGGCGAGGAGGCGGGAGCAGGGGCCGCGCTCGACGACTCGCCAGGCCGCTCAGGACGGCCCCGAGGGCTGGGAGAAGCCGCAGAAGCGGTTGGGCTGGACGAGCGAGTTCAGAGGCCAACCCTCCCCACCCGGGGGCCGCGGCGGAGAGCGGTGCTCCCAGGGCTGTGGTCGGGGAGGCCCGGGGCCCTGCGGCGGCCCGGCTGCGAGGGGGTGGGGCGAGCGAGCGCTGAGACGTTCGCCGCTCTTCAAACTCGCCCAAGTTGGCGAAAGAAGGCCAGGCTGGCGCCGAAGGCCTCCGAGAGCGTGGCCGTTGGGCTGCGTTGCCCGAGTGGTTGCATTCGGCCCAGACACTCGCACCCCCCGCGGCAAGGCGGCTTCACACTCACGCACACTCTCCCTCAGGACGCCAGGGGCTGGGGGGGCGCCGCGACGGAACCTCGCTCCCCGCACGCGGGCTCGGCCCGAAGGGGCGGGACGGCCTTCCTCGCGCCGTCTCGGGGCCCACCCGCGCGCCGCCACACATCAGCCCGCTCACGCGCACCCCCGGCAGGGCCCCTCGGCGCGCCGCGGAGCTCTGGGCAGCTCCCAGGTGTCTCTGGGGACGGAGAGGAAAGCCACAAAGCAAAGGAAGCAGCAAAGAGAAGGCGAAGGAGGAGCAGGGGCCAGGGTCCTGTGGACTCGCCTGGAGTGGGGTAGGGGGAACACTGAAGGGGCTGCGAAGGCTCCGGGGGGTCGCGCGTGGCCTTCGGGCTCAGCCCCCACGCGCAGTTCCCCTTCCCTCCCCTTCCCGGGCTCCTGGCTCCCTCTCAGGGCAGTTTCTTCCTCCTCCCCTCGGGCCCTCTCAGCTCCGGCGCGGGACTCAGTCCTGGGGATTAAAAGAAAGGAGGGAGGGGAAAAGGGAGGGGAAGGGAAGGGGCGGAGGAGAAAGGAGGACGATCCCTCCAAAGGCGGGTGTTGAGTTTCAGCTCGGGACCCTCGGGCCAAACTGCACGCCCCCTCCCGGGCCCTGTACGCGGCGCCTCTTCCTCTCTCCGTCGCGGAGGACCTCCCGGTCGTGTGGCCTGCTTTCTCCCGGGAGCTTCCCTCACCCCGCCACGCCCCCGCTCTGCCCGGCCAGCCCCGCGCCGCTGTCTGCCTCCCTTTCGTGAGCCCCACATCTGTCTTTCCCTTGGGAGGGAGCGCGCTCCTTCTCCTTTCTTGGGTCCTCAGCGGAGCGTCTCTTCTCTCTTGGCGTTACCACCGCAGGGGTGGCAGGGGTGACCGGCCGTTCTTGCGGGGGACAAGGACGGGGAGCTGCGGCTGGACATGGATTCTGGCCCTGGCGAGAGAACATGAGCCTGGTCCCAGAGCTGCAGGCTGGCGGGTTATGCCGCTCTTACACTTCTCTGCCAGTCTGGGCCTGTCCACCGCCCTCACTCTGTCTGCTACCACGCGGAGCAGGAGTACGGACTGCGGGCACAAAAGGGCAGACCTCTTTCAGAGGAGCTGGGATCAGCTGCAAGAACAGGGTTCTTGGATTCCCACACCTCTCCTGACCTATTACTACTCCTTAGTGTGTGCTGTTCCCTCCAGCTACCCCTACCTCCTGCTTCTTCCTATTGAGACACACCTCAAGGCCTCTTAGGCTGGAAGGGAGCCTTCCTTCTTCCATTTTTGAGATTCCTAGTATTTAAAAAAAATTAGATGCTAAACAGGATTAAAAAGCTGTAGTAGATTTTCAGTGTTTACAGTTAACAAATTAACACTTCAAATACATAAAACAGACAATGACTCTAGGTATAACTTCATTTGTAGATAACATCAGAAGTCTAATTTAAGGCCCTTTGTGAACCCGAGGCTCCCTCCTTCTCTCCTCACATTCCACAGGCCCACACATCCAGACATTTCCTAGGAGGGGAGGGGGATACCTGGCCTGGCTCCCCCTCCCTGTCACCTGGGCACCTGTGAAGAGCCCTGGGGGACCTATGGGGTGGGTTAGGAAGAGATTCTGTTCTGGTCTTGGCTCAGAATTGGGTGCAGACCTATGGGTGGGCCTGGGAACTCCAAACAGACTTAGATGCCCTTAGGGCAGTAGAGGAACTTACAAATTTCCAGATGCATCTGAAGGGAGAGCTCCTCATCCCAGCTCCAGCCCCATCCAATCTCCTCCAGACCCCAGCCCTGGGGGTCCTGGCTGCCTGGAACACAGACATTCAGCTGCTGGGGAGTGACTTGGTATGCTCTGTCCAGAGGACTGTCAAGGCAAATGGGGGCCCAAGATGGAAGTGGGCAGAAAATCCAATTCCCAAAGATGAATGCTCAGACAGGCACAAGGAGAAATAGATGGAGGTCAGAAGACTAGGCAGAAGAGAAGTGCTAGGACCAGGCAGAATGGCGGTTTGGGAGGCAGGCATTGGGGCTCACTGCCTGTAGTTCAGTGCCTGGGGAAATAAATGTAGATGAGGGGGAAGCAGAGTACAAACCTGCAGGAAAATAAGAATATGCTTCTGGAGTGCTCAGGCATGGAATGTAGCTTGTGAGACTCAAGAATGAATCCTGTTTTATTAGCTATGTGATTTTGGCCAAGTTATATAACATCTCTGAGTCTCAGGTCCTCATCTGTAACAGTGTCTTTTGGTGAAGAGCAAATATATGTAAAATGCCTGGGGCAAAGATCTCCCTCCATGACTTTTCTTCATCTTGCTGCCCCCCCCCCCCCACTTTACTTTCATGAAAATTGGAAGTGTTTCTTTGTTGAGGCCAGGAAGAGCCTTTCTCTGTCCTTATCTCATCTTTGCCTTCTCCTTTGCAGAGGTTTAAGGCGATTCTACCTTCTTCAGGGAGAGCTCTGGGCTCCAGGTAAGGTTGGAGAAAACCCAGGCTGGCAGTTAGACCCTGGTTGGGCAACAGCCTCAGGCCGCTGGGCCCTCAGCTTCAGGGCTTACCCTGGTCATATTCAAGGGGCAGAAAGGAAGGAACCCCTTCATCTGGCTTTCTGGGCCCCAGCTTCTCTCCCCTTCCCAGCAGGGCCAACTGCTAGTCTCTTCCATCCCACACCATGACTTCCTTGACCTGTTTTTACTCCTCTTGCTGCTCAAAACTCAGGCACTCAAGAATTCTTCCAGTTCTCCTCTCTTTGGACCCCACAGCACCCAGATTGCCTGGATTCTACTCCTGGTTTCAACACTAGTTAGTGACCTTGGCATGGAGCCAAGGCTCTTGGAGCCTCTGGTTCCCTGTCTATAAAGTGGGGATAATAATGGAACCAATAGCATCAGGCTTGTTGTGAGGTTAAGAAATTCCTTAAAAAAGGGCACCTGGACGGCTCAGTTTGTTAAGCATCCAACTCTTGATTTCAGCTCAGGTCATGATCTCAGAGTTCATGGGGTCCAGCCCCACATCGGGCTCTGTGTTGGCAGCATGGAGTCTACTTGGCATTCTCTGTCTCCCTCCCCCCCCCCCCCCCCCCCCGCCTCTTTCTTCTTCTCAAAAATAAAAATAAATAAACATTAAAAAAAATGAAAAGAAATTCCTGAGAACAGTACCTGGCCCATGTTGTGTAAATGTTGGGTAAAAGCAACTATTATTATTGTTATTTGATGGCAGCCCTATGGGGGCAGCAGAAGGTCAAGGAAACCGTGCGTGCCCTTGAGAAACTTACCTCACATAGATCATACTCGAATCCAGTCAGTACCTTCCCCCTTACCTTGGAATAAAGTCCAAATGCTCTACCACAACCTGGAAGACCTTGTGTGATCTGGCCCCTGCCTACCTCTTTACCTTATCTCATCCCACCCTCCCCCTTATCCTTCGTTTTCTATCCACACTGTCCTTTCTGTTTCTCAAATATGCCAAGCTCTTTCCCACCTCTAGGACTCTGCATGTCCTGCTGCCTCTGCCTAGACCACTCTTCCCCCACATGCTTTCCATCATCATGTCAAATTCTGCATTCTCAGAATGGCTTTCCCTGGCTTTCGAAGTTAAAGCAGCCCCCTTCTTCCATTCCCCTCAGCCCTCTAGCTCATAACACTGTTTCATTTTCTTCGTAGCACTAATTATCCGAAATTATCTTGTTTCCTTGTTTATCATCCGTCTCCTCCTAAAACGTAAGCTTCATGAGGCAGAGAACTTATCTGGCTTGTCCTCCTCTGCATTCCTGTTAGCATTTAGAATAGCGGCTGGCATATAGTAGGTGCTCAATAAATAGCTAGTGAGTGGATGAATGAACAGGGCAGCCACGACTGTAGAACAAATCTGAGTAAGCCCAGGGCCCTCCATGGGCAGGCACCAGTGCTGGGCTGGGGGAGGGACTTGCTGGGTCCAGCTCACTCTGATTCTCCACGTGTTGCCCAGGCCAGACGAGGTTCTCTTTGAAGGCAGGCTCCTAAGCCTAAACATTTTTGTACCTAAAGGGATAGTATAAATAGGTAGCAATCAGTACCATTATCACTTACTAATCAGGACACGGGAGCAGTATTCTGGAGACCCCCATCTGGGCCAGGCATTCAGTTGCTGGATCACAGGCAGGTTGTGATATAGAATGCACCCCCACCCCTGGGCTGAGGACAGCATGCATTTACCAGCAGGGGCAGAAGCATTTCAGCATTTTAACGACCAATGCCCCTACCTCACATCAGATGTGAGCAGATGAGCCTCAGCAGACTCT